AGAGATTATTCTTAGACCACTATTTTGACCCAAAAATCCAAATTTGAAGAAAATTGCCGACCCGAAGGTATACTGTAACCTTAAAGAAATAGCAATTAGCTGTGTGATTTGATTTGTTTGGTACATAATGATGGACAGAATTCTTGTGTGCTCATCAGATGAGAGCTATGGCAGATAAGAGAAAAGACAGTGACAATAACAGACAACCTCTAACATAATGCGAGGCAACTCTTAGGAAACTTGAAACATTGTCATCAAATGACTTCTGCAATAAACAGGAACTAGCACTGGAAAGTTGTGAAATGTCAGTTGGGGAATACAGTCTGAAATTCTGATGAACTTGCTGGCTTGAAGGAGACAACAGTGATTTTTTCCATGTGTACACAATTTCTCACTGGTCAGTCGTCCATCTAAATTACCATCAAATTTCTACATAAACTGTCCCTGGGAAAAATTCAACTGACAAACCAAATTAAAAGAATCAAGTGCATTTTTCTATGGTTGAGATCTTTTCCCTTCTCTTGTGGACATAATGTGCTATATAATAGTTAAATTTGCTTGATTTTTCCCTTTGGCCCTACAGTTTTGATTATCATTATAGCCAAAAAGGAAAATAAAAATCAAATGGACATGGATTTATGACAATTTGAAATGAAAAAAAAACAAAAAACAGTAGAACATAACATATGCACTGATGCATTGATCAAAGTAAGAAAACAATGTTTCTTCCTTTGTAGCCGTTAGATTCCCGTGATCCTTAAGCTTCAGTTATGTGCAGCATGACAACACTTAGTTTACTCCCCCACAGGTTTCAACTTGCTGTTGTGCCACTATGCCTTAGGAGACAAGGAGAAAATGAAGAAGACATTTCAAAAGTTGTTAACTGTTAGCCTTGGCTTTGATGATGAGGACAAGTACACTTTAACAGGGGTGAGAAAAAGCCGATATCTAAGTAATGAAAATGTTTCATGCAAACCCCATAATTTGACTTAAGAGACAAAAAGAACACAGTCTGAGTAATAACCAGGCGAGTAAAAATCCAGTTGCCATGGGATGAAGCAATTAAATTAGGAGTTGAATTTTCTACTTCCCTGGAAGGGATTCTAATCCATTACAGGGTTACTCAGCATTTAAAACATTCAGTATCAAAAAAATATTTATATCGTAGACCTGGGTGGAAGACAGCACAATAATTGTTGTAGCAGCGGCTCAAATCTGGACTTCTTAACGACATTCGGGCTAATTGTTTATGCGCAGACCCACTTCTACAAAATATGACTAAGATCATTTGCCTCTGTTGACTCACCTTTGATATTTTTAACTATAAACCCCTGTAGACCATGCTTAATTACGTGCACCAATTTTTCAACATCAGGGTACTTTTCCACACGCTTTATTTCTGAAACGAAGTTGGTGACCCCCAATTTTTTTTGCATTTCTGACACAAGTAAGTCATTATCTGACTGCAGTAAAAATTTCAAAAAAACTCTATCGACTAAGAAATTTTTGCACAAACATAGTCCAGCAGTGCATAGTGCAGCAGTGCACAGATCACTGGGTCCATGTACCTCCCACTATCCTAACCATTGCCTAGTCATTCAGTAGCTTTCTGTTATTTTCTTTTCATTCATTTTTTTAGGATGATCCACAACAAGCATTGATTCTCGAAGTAATCAGAAATGACAGACTCAGACAAATTGAACGACAAAAGTATGTAGCATTATGATGTAACTCGGGTATCTAGTTGAGAATTCTTCCTGTACTGAAGAGGCAGTTAGAGTCACATATTTCAACTTTAATTCTGTGGTTTAAATTTGTCTTTGCTTGTGGAATCCAAACAAACCATTTTGAACTTTTCTTTGTCTTAACCTGAAACAAAGGAAAGCAAATTCATTGTAGTTGGTCCCTTCTCTAACCAGAATAGTGTTTTGTATGGAACCTTTTTCTTCATCTTTGATCAATAAATTTTAGATTGAAGTATTGCAGTTACATGTACCATACTTTCTTTTCTATTATTATTTTGTAGGAAATCCCAAGCTGATAAATGCATTATGAGTGCAGCAAGACTCATATCTCCTGCAATTGAGAGTAGTTTTGCAGCTGGATTTGACTGGTAACAAAACTAAATAATGCAGTTCATACCATGCAGTACCAACATAAAATCTAAATTTGTTTAACCTGTGACTGTATGAAAGGAATGGTGAAATGGTTATTTTACACAAAGCAATTCTTTAGATTTTGTAATTCCTTTAATGCCTTACAAGGCTGAAGGAAAGCCAGAGAGTCAGAGGAGATTCTCTGACAAGCAAAAGTTCAACACTTTGGTGAATAATTTTTGAAAGTCCTGAAATTTGCTCAGGGCTTAATAAGCTTGGGTTTGCAACTTGTAAAATATTTGATAAAACATTGAAGTTTAGCATAATCCTTGCTTTCTGTTTGTCTTTTAGTTAGCTTTGAGAATCTGGCTTTACATCAAGGCAATAATTATTATTATTTTCTTGGCAGGTGTATAGAATGTGTGAAGGTATCACCTTACTTAGAATTGGCCAATGAGCTAGAAATAACAAAAGCTGTTACTTATCTGAAAGAGAAGGATCTTGCTAAGGTGAGTATACCTAACAATTATTATTCCATGGATGCGCGTTTGATATGAGAGGTAGATAGCCAACGAGGCATGTAGTGCTGAGTTGGCTATAAACATCCTATATACAACAAGCTCGAGAGGAATAATAATTATTGTTTTATTAAAAATGCCCCCAAAATATAGAAAACTGAGATAAAATAAAAATAAAAATGCCCCTAAAAATTGCACTTCGCTTACCATGTTTGTAGAGCATGGTATAATGGCTTTTAGTATCACCCGACTAGTGGACTAATGCAAATCCTGCATTTTAATTGGCCAAGCTACTAGAGGACTATTAGTAATTGTCCTTGAGTAACGAAATTGGCGCAATCAAGCATGACGCTTTCTTTCGTTTTATTCCCAAATAACTACTTCTTCAACACATTTGCTAACTTTATTATTGCCTTTTTTGTCCAACTAGTTGGGTGATAATAAAACAATTAGACCCTTCACCCTCAAGGGCCACGGGTCAATAGCCTATTCGGCTTCGCCTCATGGGCTACTGACCCATAGCCCTTGCAGGCTACGGGTCTAATTGTTATCTATTTTTTTTTGTTTTAAGTTTTTTGTTTTGTTTTGTTTTGTTTTGTTTTTTGTTTTGTTTTGCTAATTGCTTATATACCATGATAGCTAAGCCAATAAAAATTCTTGACTTACATCATCCAATGATCCAGTTTATAGTAAAATGTGATATTGACAACAAGGATATTTAATTAAAAGGAAAAAGTATAGACTGAGGTAGAATTAAACAGAAAAACATCCTCAGGACCAGAAGGGTTCATTTGCTTGGCAAAAAGGTGTCCTCTTATAGACTTGGAGGTCAAAAACACAGCATTTATTTCTGTGCCACCCAAACAACTACATAACTGTGTCTACTTAGGAGAGGTATCTCCTTATGGAAGATATTCCTAAGTTTAGGGACATTTGACTGCATGGTTATTGAAATGCCAGCGTATCCAGTCATTAGGTAATAATTTCTCTTCTTCTCTCTTTAAAGGCTATTGAAACCCTTAAAGGTTTTGAGAAAAAGGACTCAAAAGTGCAATCTACCGCAGCCACTAATTTGTCATTTCTGTACTTTCTGGTAAGTTTAACAATAGAGTGTTACATTCAATCTCCGTGCGATTTATGTATGTCTCTTAATACTACCAGCTAGTAAAATTGTCCCTGCTTCTGTATTTTCTACGATCAATCAGCACAGGGTGAATGATATTTGCTTTCAGGACAGATACCTTTCCAGTGATGATACATAATTACATATTTCATGTTTACTAGGAAAATGAGGTGTCCCAGGCTGATAAGTATGCAGAACTTGCAATTACAGCTGATCGCTATAACCCTGCAGGTGGGTACTGTTTAAACTACTTAAAACTTACTAGAATAATTGATATATACATTGTAAATTTAACAACCCTGTAGAACCTGTGGAAATTTAACAATCCTGTGTAATCATATCAATCACTGTCTGTGCCTCTCTCTCCACCCAGGTTTATAAATAGCTAGAGCTAATATTTGTAATTAAATGCTGTCATGTGAGGGATGTAACTGTGTGATGGCCTTGCATCCCATCAATCTCTAGTTCATGCCATGGAAATAGGAAATATCCACCAGCTTGAAGGGCCCTAGACGCATTGCAGATCTTACAACATTGTTAAGGATACGATTTCACTTATTTTTGAAGGACTGTGCTACAGCTATCATAATTCCAGCGAGGCATGGATGACTTAAAAATAGAAATCCAATACTGTATAGTCCACAGTGGTAATGAGTAGTGGAAAAATATTCCTAGCAAGTACTAACTCTTATTTTCTCAATTTGTTTTCAGCACTGGTGAACAAAGGGAACTGTTTGTTTGCTAGTGGAGACTACGAGAAGGCACGAGAATATTATCAGGAGGCATATAATGTTGAGGCATCTTGTACTGAGGCCTTATTCAATTTAGGTATGCCTGCAGCTCACATTTATTACAAGTCAATCTTCTTGTTAAATTATTATGTAGATTAGACATTTTACATTTTAAGAATCATTGTGTTATGCCTGTCTGCATAATGACTTGAGCATATGACCATTTGCTGAAAACGATATTGATGGTCCAATGAAACACATGGCATCCCTTGTAAAAAACCTTGCAGGATTGTTGAGAATCTTACAGGAGCTTTAAAACACTTTCTTAAGATCTTAAAATATCTTTGACGGATACTGTTAAGATCTTTGCAAGAGTCCTTCAAGATCTTCAGTGATAAGGGTCATTAAAGATCCTAATAGTTCTTGACCAGGATCTTCAAGGATCTCGTTTAAGATCTTTGATTAAAACCCTTAATGGTGATCTTTGAAAGACTTTATCAGGGATGTTCTTCTCATGCTTTGACCATTCTCTTTTCCCAAGCCTATCGCAATACTGATATGTGTGGTTCCAGGAAATATCCATGTCATCCCCAGACTATTTGTTTAGAAGAAGACACTTTTTTTTATCTTTATGAACAGGTCTTGCAGAGAAGAAGTTAAATAGGCCTGAACTGGCTCTGGACTGCTTCTATAAGCTACAGGCAATCCTCAAGAACCATCCTCAAGTCCTTTATCAGATTGCAAGCATGTATCCTTTTCCGTTTAACACATAAATCAGACAGTAATACACTGTTATTTCTCAAACAGATGCCAAAAGATTATTGCTTCTGCATTTGCTGCTATATTTGGTGTAACTGAGGTGCTTGCAACCAACCTGATGTCAAATCCAAATCATATTGTATTCTGACCGTATGATTTGAGTCTAAGATTTTCAAAGCAAAGTCGAATAACTTGATGACTTGTACAATTAAAATCACCCATCGCCTCAGTGAATTGGGTAGGGGGTATGTCTTAGGTATTCAAGTATTAATTTAAGTGCTTGCTGTGCCTTTTCTTTGACAATGGCTTAGATATGAAACATTGGAAGACAAAGCTCAAGCTATTGAATGGTATGTGAAAGTTTCTTGTTATATTCTTAGAGTAGAAATATACTCCATGTTCCATTAAACTTGAAGGCGTCTTAACTCACTGTCAGTAACCATTGCGACACTCTTCAATTTTTACAAGGTACATGCAGCTTGTTTCTGTGGTCCCTACTGATCCATCAGTGCTGTCAAAACTTGGTGAATTATATGACAGTGAACAAGACAAGTCACAGGCATTCCAATATCACTTTGAGGTAAGAATCATTGCTAAACTTGCAGTTTACCATTCAGATAATTGATTGAGATGTTACTAAATGTTCTCTCCTGTTTTTAGTCTTACAGATATTTCCCATCTAATATTGATATCATCTCATGGCTTGGGGCTTACTACATTGATTCCCAGTTCTGTGAAAAAGCAATACATTACTTTGAAAAAGCTGCAGTGATACAGTGAGTTTGTCTGATGCAGTCTTGATTACCTTTAGTTGTATCATTTGAAGAATTACTAATACCATGACTGATTCTCAGGAAATTTTGCCATTAGACCACTGCCATCGCTAAAAAAGATCCATAACAAAATTCATCCACAATATTGAATACTATCTTAGTTAGAATAAAACAACAAAATTTGATATATACATCTAATGCAGTGACTGTGAGAGTTGCTGGAATGAAGAAATGAGTATAAAATTTTATTAGGTTATGCTGATCAAAGGGAAAAATTGGGCAGTTTCAGTTTCCTAAGGTCACACTTTTAGGAGCACTGAATTTATATAGAAACATAACCAGAACTTGTCTTTCTTAATATTAACAATGTGTAATTGTCTTTGGATAAGAGCCTTGTGTTCCATTTTGTAGTTACAATTTGTTTAGACTACCTTGCCAAATATTTCTCTGACTTGTAGCTTAAATAGCTGACAAAAGATGCAAGTGTGGTTTGTAGAAATTCTTAATGTTATTATTAATAGTAATATTTTTGTTCTTAGACCAAATGAAGTCAAATGGCAACTTATGATAGCAAGTTGTTATAGAAGAAGTGGTAAGTGTCTGTGCATCTGTCTGTCTGTCTGTCTGCCTGTCTGACCATAAGCTGCAGGGATGTGTAATATTTTGTCAAATTTAATTTACTCTTTCCTGAGAAACAGAAGGTCTGCATGTCAGCAGCAGGAGAGAGTTGTACCTCTGAAAACTGGTTAATTGCAAATTCTGGAAATTATGCTATGTTATGTTGCACTTTGTGGCAAGACACAGACCTTATCTAGATCTGTCAGGCCAACATCTTGTACCCATAGTTACATAATGCATTTTTCATGAAGACAGACTTGTTGACAATACAGAACGAAAGACTTCCAAAATAGTTCATGAAAAAATACCCGTCACCGTTCTTTTTTACGCACTTTGAGTTCTACTCTGTATGCAGCAAAGGCATTTTTTCTCTCAAAATCATCACTACCCAGTTATGCTCCTTTTATATCAAACCCTTCAAGTAGTAATAATTTCTAATACCTAGCAAATTAGACGTCCAATGCAGGCTCTTTGCACACATTGCAGGCCTATGGTAGCACGGTACTAAAATGATGATAGATGTGAATGTATGATAGTATTAGTCTATATGGCAATAAAAGATTGTGTAGTACTAAAAGAACTTATTTAACTACAGGTAATTATCAGCAAGCTTTGGAAACATACAAAACCATACATAAAAGGTTCCCTGAAAATGTAGAATGTAAGTATACTAATTAATCAAAAGTATCTTTTAAAGGTTTTTACAATCCCTCAATAGTGGGAAATGTTGTTTATTCTTGGCTCTGTTTTCTTGACTGTGTCTTGAAACAACAAGCATTTGTATCTCAGCCAATCTTTGAGTTATAACATACCTCAAAGATTAGCTGAGTTACAAAGTTATATTACAGTGAAATCCAAATTTCTTGAGCCCTCCTTTTTTCAAACCATTTTTTTTTTTTTTTTTTTTTTTGCTCAAGTTTTTATCTCAGTTGAAATAAATGATCTTTCATATGGTCACTTCCCATGATTATACGTAGTAAATTTGACCATTTAAAAGTAGCGGCATGAATCGCGGGCGCGTTCGCCCTATGACGACAATGGCGACGTCGCGCAACCTGGCGGCCATAATCCAGCTAATAGGTCGACTGAGGTATGCAGCCTTGGTTTTCAGAGTACAACTTTATAATAATAATAGTAATACAGTAAACACCCGCGTGTAAGAACCTAGAATTTTTGGGTTCAGGCTGANCTTCAAAACATAGAGAGGCTGACCAACCAATTTACTGTTTACATGTATTGTGTATCGTGTAGGAGTTCATCATGATAGAGCTGCAATTCATCAGCTCTCAGAATTGAAGACTGGAACCCTGGATGTATGGTGCTGAGATCTAACTTCTTTGGCACTCTGCCTTCTTTGATCATGTCTATGTTTGTCTATTGATTTTGAAGGTCTTAAATTCTTGGTGAGAATTTGTACAGATCTTGGACTAAAAGATGTTCAGGACTATGCTCAGAAACTGAAGAAGGTGGAAAAAGCAAGAGAGTTGAAACAACAGGTGAACTTAATACATAACCGTTCAAAGTGGTTCATTCATAATTTGCAAGATAGATCTGCAACAAAAAGTATTTCTTGTTGTAAGCTGGGTTTACGTTAAACAGTGTTACCTGCTTTTGAAAAGGAGATCCTCCAGTTTCCACAAACATTACCTGATTCACTGACTGTATAAATATGGAAGTATATACAGATTAAAAAGACCACTAAAATTTAATATCAGAAATTTCCTGCCATTTCTAAAGAGAATACATAAATCTTGCACATTTTGTTTTTAACCAGCGAGCCAGCAGTGGATCCAGGAAAGGAAGTGGAAAAGCTGGAAGTGCTAACATGCCTGCCACTGGTGGTTCACGTAACAGCAGTGCAGGAAGTGGTGAGTGTCAACATCTTGCTTAGCCTAGGTTAGTTTAGCAGAGTTAATGGTTGTGTCACTGGCAAAATCCAAAGAAAATTCATTCTTGTTATTCATTGAAAAAAGCACCTAAATGAAACCTATTCTACTGAGAAAAATTGTGGCAAAATTGTGAAATTGAAACTTGGGCTCATATTACATCCATTGTGTTAAAGATGTGCACATACATAAAGGACCCCAACTTTGTCACTTGTGTATAAATTGTTATAATAGTTTTGAGAAACTTAAGAATGGACACTTCCTGGGGGTGTGAATTATCAGTTTTCATGAGGCAGTGCAGGGGAACCTTGATTTAAAAAACCTCTATTTAATGAAGTCCTTAGTATAATGAACGATATCCTTCACCCCAGTTATAGTAAAATATACATGTATGGAAAAGAACCCTAATATAGCAAAACCTCATTATAGTGAACGTGTTTTGCCAGTCCCTGTAGCTTTGCTCTTCGTTACAAGCTTCCACTGTAGTAATGTACAGGCATAGGAGAATCATGGTTGTGGTCCCAAATGCACCCAAAAGATTTTTTTCCAAATCCAGTACAAGAAGACACTGAGGTTTAGTCTTAAGAGTGTCTACTTGTAGGAGATTGGGCAATACTATACATAAAATCAAAATATTATAATGGTTACAATAGATGCCTGAGAGTGTAACTGACATTATCTTGTGTTTTTTACTTGTTGTAGAGTCAGGAAGAGTGGACAGTGGTGGCAGTAGGAGAAGTGCCAATCGTTCTGCTGGACGAACAAAGCCAATAGTTCCAGATAACGATGACTCATTCAATTTTGGTGGAGCAAAGGAAGTTGGTGGGTTGTTTTGAAATATTATGATTTCCTGTCTTTGTGTAAATGTTCATGTAGAGTCTGAAAATGTGGGAAGGGGGTGGGGATATCTGGAAATCTTATATCAAGTTTCATACTTTATATTACGACAAGTCTGAAAGGGGAAATGGTTTGTTTTATGAAATTAGCAAAATATACGTGCAAAACCTCGTTTAAGGACACCAAAATGGTCATGTTCATATTATTGAGGTTGCTGTATTATATTATTACTCAGAGATCATATGACTTTTGGCTTCTGTGGCGCTAAGTGAACTGTCCACAGGTTTGCACATACATGTACATGTATTTTGTGTTACAGACACTGTTTTCCTTGAATACAGACAAAAATACAAATATAAACCATCAGTTCACTTAAATATTTCTGCCAATCATTGTATAGCCTGCAAACACAGATGGATTTCCAGCTTTAACATGTATACAGCCAAGTAATTATAATGAACAGTCACACAATAGTCTACTGGAGTTGTAATTTAACGACATTTGCACTAATTGTTTCTGCGCATCCTTTCTGCGCATGTAAATTCGCACGCCATGTCATGCATCAAACGCACACTAAGTACTAAAATGAACAATGATATGGCAGATGGCCATTGCTATAGCTTTGCTATAGATTTGCTTGGAAGTTCGGTGACCCCTACTTTTCTTTCCAGAAACAGATTTTATTTATGATTATCTCCACATTGTCCAAAAATGAACAAAAAATCAATGAGAGAAGTTAAAAAAATTCAAGATTTCTATCCAAGGGACATCGAATCCTGCCATCTTGCAGCTGCAAGGCGCTTGAAACTATGGTCGCTAAATACAAACTTGTTCTTTAAGGAACCTCACCAGTTGACTAAATTCACTTAATAGGTCCACTTAAACAATATTTGGCAGAGAACATTTCACCTCAAAGATCTAATTGCAATATTCTTTGGGCTTACAGACACAGGTGTGGCCTTATTTGCTAATGAGGCCAGATTTTTTCAAATTTAAGGGTGTTCTTCCGGGCATGTTCTCTCCAAAAGGAAGTCAGTGACCCCCCAATTTTGTACATTTCTGACATAACTAACTAATATCTTACAGTGGTAAAAGTCTCAGGAAAAAATCAATGTTGGAAAATTTTCATGCAAATATCCTGAACAGGATTTGCTGAGACTCTTTGATGCTATCACACTTGTTATTTTAACTGTCATAGTGAGGCCTTCTAAATTATGGGTAAAAGCGGCAAGTGACATGACCCTGAAAACCAGCTACACAGGAATTTCTAGTCAGCAACAAGCGAATCGAATGTACCGCTAAAATTCAACAGCGACACGATAAGCACTAGAAAAGACAGTGACATTGTCCCTTTTAGACTTTTTGCCTATTTAGAAATTGTACTCTCTTATGAAGTCTGTAAATGTCTGAAACTTGTGTGCTTTCCCATTGAATAAACTCTAAATAAATCAGCCTTGTAGTGACAGCAACATGTGACTTCGTGCAGAAAAAAGACAGCAACATTTGCTTCTGCTGGTGAAGCGACATCGGTACACAAATGTGACATGGCGACACAGCTACCCCCTTGGAAGGCCTCCATAAATATCAACTGTGGTTGCAAAATAACTGCTAATTTAGGTAGAATACAAAAATGATGCTCAAAACAAGTACAAATATCGCAATATTTGAAACTGGTTTATCAGGTACCAGTTAGTTGTTAGTCGTCATAGTTCTTCTGAGTGCATGCAATGGAAAACACACGGTCAAGTTTCTTTCGTGAGGAATGAAAAATTGAGGAAGATTAACTGTAGAGATAAACTATAGAGCCTATGTGGTGGTAGCGATACTAGACACTAAAATGTCATACTAGATATTAATACAAACCAATAATTTTGTAACTTTGTCATATTGTCATTGTTTCAGATGCTACTTATGCAGACCCCTTGGGAGAAGCTCCTGCTAGGCCCAAGACTGCTGGAAGGCAACGGCCACAGCAAGTCGAGGATGAATTTGGTGATGAAGAGATTGGAGATGACCTTCTCCCAGATTAAAGAAGCTATTAATATTCTGTTCAAAGCCAAACATTTATGAATAGAAAATTACTTTGACACTTGCATTGACTTGTATCAAGGCTGTTAGTTGAACCATCGCAAGAATAGTAACCATAGTCATAAGAAATAGTGGTCTGTTGTAAATACCGGTATTGGTCTAAATGAGACTCAAAAGGAAATATTTAAGGGATGTACAGAATGAGTGACTGTGTTGTGACAGATTGAGTCTTGAACTTAAGTTTGTAAATTTGGTACAAAACAGACATGAATTCTGCCTGACCTATCAAGTCTTGATAGATGGAACCTTCTCTTTCAGTTGTTTGATTAGGATGTATTTCTAGTCAAGAAAATTGAGCCATACATTCATGCTAATCAGGAATGGATCTGAAATAACAGATGCTCGAAAACAATTTATCTTCTTTCATTTGATTCTTCATGGATTTGTCAATAAATAAATGATAGCATTCTAAGAACATAGTAAAGAAGTGTATCTTAAGAGCACTGGCTTATGAATGCACTAATCTTGAATTATGTTTGCAAGTTTATTTTGAACAATTATTTGCATCAGATTTTGGCATTAAAGAGGGTAGCAACAGAGGGTATCCATCCCGTTGCACTCATGGATTTAAACAAAGTTCACCCAGCACCATCTTGGATGTCTTTTAGTTGCTTTTCACACATCTCACACTAATTTTTGCTATCATCATGTGTCATTCGTGAACCCTTTGCCATCCTTATTATGCGTGAATGTAAAGGAGTTCATCAGATTGGACCTATTGAAAACTACAGAATTACATGCCGTGCCAAAGAAGGATTTCATTCCTGTTATTACTCAAAATTGAAAATAATCCTTTTTCTCCCACTCGGGGCATTGGGCTACATGTCTCATCCCCAGGCCCCTCTCCTTGGTCGCAGCATGGTACACCTGTTGCTTTGTGTTTCACCACCATCAAGAATTCATTCCTACTTTGTAATATTACAGTACTGTTTAAATTATTTGTAAAATATCCCATTTAAAAAGGCATTAAAAATGAATGAAAATGTTGAGTGTTATCTTCTTTCTCAAAACTATAGACAACTTCGAAGGCCCCACATTTCTTTATTCCATAGCAAACAGCCCCTATATTGATGTGAGAAGGCAAATATGCTACAATGTCCAACCTTCCAACCACAAAAAAAAAAAATCAAGGTGCTTGATTAAACTGTAAAGGAATCCTTTTGGTTTTCCCTGAAGTAAAACATTTATCTCTCAACTCTCAGATGCAGCTGTTAGGACTACATGCAACTTTTGGGTTTGAACTGATATGAGCATTCTCCTGGACAAACGTTGAATAAAAATGGTACTGTCATCTGGTGTGGGCTGTTCAAAAGCATTCAGCATTCTGGTGTGGAATTGTAACCTTTTACGCATGCCAATATGTGAAAATCAATGACCTACTTGGACATACGATATTTTTCAAGCCTGTACATTTATTGGGCTTGAATGAAAACCTTTGTGTATCTTTGGTATGGAATGCATGTGGAATGCCCTCAAACACACTAACTAATTAGTGTGAAGGTATGAAAGGAATAAATTACCAGCCCCCTTGAGGAAGATGACATGAAATAGTTCCTGCTTCATGTTCCTACATGAATTTCCTTGTTCCATTTCATTTTCCCACGTGCACGGACTTTTGTTAGCATGTTTAAAATAACAAAACCCAAAACAAAGACAACTGCTCACTGTAAACAAGCTAACCAGAGTGCAAACTAGTAACTACATGTTCATTATCAGTTGCTTGTTTCAGTTTTTGGCAGTTTTGTTTCAGCCATTTTGCTTGTTTGGTTTATTTCATATTTTCAGTAGTGTTGCTGTTTTGGGTTTTGGCACATGCCACTTTCATCAACTTGTCTCTTCTAAACCTTTCTTAATTTAAGACAGACAATCTTCCTGTCAACAGAAGATTACCAGCTTGATCTTATTTATACGACATATTAATAGTGATTTCTCTCTTACTCAAGCTAGAATCCAGGTCTATGCTTTTTCGTTCCTTTTCCACTTTTCTTTCCTCTCTTGGCTTCAATCCTTTCTTTGATGTTTTTCTGTCTCTGTTTCTGTTTGTCCTCAGCCTGTTTCTTTTGATGTTCAATCCTCTCTTTCCACTGCTTTTTGCTCTTCGTTTTCACCTTCTCTCTCTTTTTCATAGCCTTCTTTAAAAGTTTAGGGTCATCATGTTGCTTTATTCCTGCTGCTTTTTCAATCGCTTGACTCCAGGAATGTTTCTCCTTGAACTCCTTAGCTTTCTCTACGTCTTCCTTGACTAACGTCTCTAGCTTTTTCTTTCGAGCTTCAGCTTTTGCCAGTAACTTAGAGTAGTTTTTCACCTTGGTCCCTGGTCGAGGTTCTTTCTTAGCTTCCAAGAAATCAAATTTACTAAAGACAACTTCTCCACTATCGTTCAGTATTTTGCTGTTCGGTGAGGAGTCTGGTTTTCCAAAACCCTTGGAGTCCTTAAATGAAGAACCAATTTTCTGATTTCTCTCTTTGACCTCCTTCTTCGATTTCTTCTTTCGAGGTTGCTGTTCGGTTCCCTTCCCGTTTTCTGCTTTACGTTTTCTCTGAAAATCTTGAATTCTCGCATGGAGACGAGATCTGAGTTCATCGAGATTACCGCTTTCAACCTTTTCAACACTAAAGCTAGCCTTCGGTAATTTACTGTCTTTATTCTGCTCACTGTGGTTTGTATTTGTCTCGTTTTCCGCTGTTTCCTTCTGTATTTCATGAATGGTTTTGTGCTGGTTCGGATCAAGTCTTGCACGTTTAGCTTTCCTTGACGCCTCTTTTATACTCTGTTTGGGAGCTTTCTTCTGACGATTCTTATGAAACTTGTTCTCTTGTTCTTCATCATCAACTGGAAGATAATGTTTGATTGGTATCAACTCGATCAACGAGTTAAAATACGCTGAATGGTCGGCAAGACGCTTTTCTAGTTCAAGTTCACTTTCGTCCGCCATCTTGCTTTCCACATGTGCTCGAGCCTCGTACCGATGACCCTTTCCGATTGGTTAGGCGATTGGTTATTGATTTCCATTCAGTGAACGCGGAAGGCCATGTGACCAGACCAAGCGGCTTTCAAGATGGCGGACGCTGGTTTCTTTCGCGTAAGGGAAAACTAACTTTTATTTTATCTTTTGGTTTCTACGTTTTCGGGTTTTAACAACTCCGTTAATATGGCGTGTACTCTTCCCACAGGGCACAAGTGCGGAGCAGGACAACCGATTTCTCGACAAGCAGAAGAAGTTGTTAAAATCGATGCGCTTTGACGATGTTCTAAATAAAAAGGTAAGCCGATGAACTGCAACTTGATCTTATCTTTTTCATTTTTTCCACAACTTCAGCTTATTTTAACGAACAATTCATACCTAACATAAGAGGAACGTGAAAGTTTGTGACAAGGTGGTCACAAATACAGTATTCGAATGAAGTTGTAAAGCGTCCTTCAATTTGCTCATGCAAATGAGCTCAACGATTAAGCTTCCTTTTAGACAAATACCATGCTTTAACTTAAGTTACAATCAATGCAGATTTATTAAGAATGCCGATGAAGGGAAAATACGTCAAAAATTGTGTCGTTTTCTTCATGATTACAAGCACTGCCCAGTCAGCCCCTGAAGACGTTAACATACGACAATTCTGAGGACGTTGTAGATTTCAACTGGAGGCCTCTATTCTATTCAGTTCATTAAAACCGCGATATTTTAATGTATTTTGGGAGTACAATTTGCATTGAGATGTTTTTCACTGCTAGCATTAAAATATTTGATTGAAGAATTGTATATAGTTTTCCCATCAAATGGATGATTCCAGAAAATATCCATACCCTACCAGGCAACATAAAACATTTTAAAGTGCCACTGAAACGAAATTTTCGTACTCTCTTTTATTAGCCCAATTTGTAATTTCAAACGTGCTTAAAATAATGGTGAACTCTATTTCTGTTAAATCCTGACGGAAAGTGCTTTTTTTAGCTGCTGAAATCGACTTTTTGGAGCAAAACTGTGTCCGGGCTCTGGAACCAAGTTTAAGGACCTTATGACATCACTGGTTGTATTCACGCAAGAAGCGCTATAGATTCTCTTTTGTTTTCACTTGATTTATTCAAGTTTATTCTTCATATTGTTGATACCTGCTAGTTTTCTACCTTGTAATTTCTGTCCAGTCTTGACAGGAAATACATATCATGAACGTTGGAGGGCGCCAAAGAGTGTAGATTCACCAAA